TCTCTCTGCCCCTCCCTTGCTCGCTCTCTCTCTCTCTCTCTCTCAAAATAAATAAATAATCTTGGGGTGCCTGGGTGGCTTAGTCGGTTAAGCGTCCGACTTTCGCTTAGGTCATGATCTCGCGGTTCGTGGGTTCGAGCCCCGCGTCGGGCTCTGTGCTGACTGCCAGCTCAGAGCCTGGAGCCTGTTTCAGTCTGTGACTCCCTCTCTCTCTGACCCTCCCCTGCTCACGCTGTCTCTCTCTCTCTCCTAGAAATAAATAAAACATTTAAAAAATAAATAAATAAATAATCTTTAAAAATAAAGAAAAGTCACACACATACACATACACACACACACACAGTGGAATATTATTCAGCCATAGAAAAGAATGAAATCTTAGCATTTGCAACAACAAGGATGAAGCTAGAGAGTATCATACTAAGCAAAATACCATACAATTTTATTCATATGTGAAATTTAGAAAACAAAAAAGGAAAAAGAGAGACAGACAGACAGACAAACCAGGAAACAGACTTTTAACTATGGAGAACAAACTGATGGTTACCAGAGGGGAGGTGGGTGGAAGATGGGTGAAACAGGTGAAGGGAATTGAGTACACATACTATGATTAAGTACTTAGTAATGTATGGAAGTGTTGAATTACTGTATTAGATGCCTGAAACTAATATACCACTATATGTTAATTATACTGGAATTAGGGGTGTCTGGATGGCTCAGTTGGTTAAGTGGCCAACTTCAGCTCTGGTCATAATTGCATGGTTCATGAGTCTGAGCCCTGCACTGGGCTCTGTGCTGACAGTTCGGAGCCTGTAGCCTGCTTTGGATTCTGTGTCTCCGTCTCTCTCTGGTCCTCCCTGCTCACTCTCTGTCTCTCAAAAAAATAAATAAATGTTAAAATTTTTTTTAAAATTATACTGGAATTAAAATAAAACACTTAATAAAAAATATTAAATTAAATTAAACAAAATAGTCCCAGAGTGCTCAGATATTCACAGGTCAGAATATATTAGTTCATCACAAATGTTGCCCTTCTGTAGCAAACATCTGACTTTAGTGGGATAAAGAGAATGGCGATTTTCATTGCCAGAAAGAGAATTTGGCACGTTGGCTCTAGAACCACTTTCCTCCAGTGATGATCACCATGCTAGGAAAAGAGCAGCAAAGTTTTCTGCACCAAATGCTGAATTTAGTGCACTTATCACCTTTTTTTCCAGTTACATTAGAAGTTTAGTAGACTAGTAGGTGGCCTGGGAAGTTAACCAATAATTTCTTTTAAAATCAGATAGTATATTTTAAACTTCAAGAAACTGTCATTATGAAGATTTATGGGAACATAACCTGTCAGCAAGTTGGCATTTGAATAATGATACCACATGCATTTACATTTGTATAATGATAACATGTATCTACAAGAAGGCAGAAGACTGATCCTGAAAATGGAAAGACTTAGAGCTTAGAGATAAAATGATAATGGGCATGTAGTTGACTGTAGAGTGAGCCTAAGTTGCTGCCTTCAGGGAAGGCCTTTCTAGAAAAAGGAAAATCCATGTGGATAAAGAGGTCAATGATGTCTTCTGCTGACTCAAAAGTCCTCAGCTTAGAGTTTGGTTACTGAAGAATATCCCAACTCAGATCATTAACAGTTCAAACTGCCCTATATATTCCTCAAGGTGTGTATTTTTCGGTGTGTATTTTTCAATCTACAAACTGCAGAAAGCAAAGTCACAGACTTATTCAAATTATCACATTTTCATCGACATCATTGGAAAAATGATGTCATGCATAAGCCCTTTTAAACACTGAATAATCAAATTTAGTGAAGGTTTCATGAATATGATCAATTGGATTTCATACATATTATAAATTGTGTTACTCTGAATTAAGTATCATCTGTGCTTGCCCCTTTTCTTAAAGGAATGCAGAATGCCGATTAGGTCTTAAACAGGGATTACTTTCAGCTTCCTTTCCATTTCAAGTTCCAAGAGGTTATTTTGTATTCTCCCAAATTTTCAATTGAATAAAATATCCCTTAGTCTTCTTCTAATTGTACATTCAATATAGAATTCCCTTTTAATGAAATAGTTCTCTACCACCACCACAAAAATTAGAAATTAAATATCACATGCTTTCTCTGAAGGCTATAGAGATTTCTGTCCATTTCCCTGAAAGTTTTATTTCCATCTATGATAAATTGTTTTAGATGACCTCTAAGATTCCCATCCCCCACTATACACATTCCTTCTCCCAGACATTCAAGTACTAATCTAGGTGCTACTATGAGGGAATTTTGCAGATATGTATATCTGCAAATTGATATAATTGAGGTCTCAAGTCAGTTGGCTTTAAGATGGGGAGATGGTCCTTAGTGGCTCTACTGTGATCAGGTGACATCTTTGAAAAGGACTGGGCTCTCCGTGGAGAGAGATTCAGGATGTGAGAGATTTGCTGGGAGGCTGATCCTTCACTGTTGGCTGTAGAGATGGAATGGGCCACATGTAAAGAATGTGGGTGGAATCTAGGAGCTGAGAGAGAGAGAGAGAGAGAGAGAGAGGCCTGTGATAGACAGCAAGAGAATAGGGACCCCAGTTCAACTTCAAAGAACTGAGCTATACCTCGAACCTAAGTGAGTTTAGAAAATGATCACAACTGTCAAATGAGATAGCTATCTAACCAACACCTTGATTTCAGCCTTGTGAGATCCTGAGCAGAAAACTCAGCCATGACGTGTACAGAAGTGTGAGCTAATAAGTTAGTATTGCTTTAAGCTGCTAACTTTGTGGTAATTTGCTACCCAGCAATAGAAAATTAATACATCAGTGTTTGTTTTATGGTGCAAGTGAAGCAGGAAAAAAATGCATGGGCCCCATGGTGCAGTGCATCTCTACTTGCAATCAGGCTAGATTCCCAAGGCTTTACTAAGCCTATTTCTTTCCAAATCTGAGGTGATATTATGCAAATAAGTAGCAGGACCTCTCCAGAATGGAAAGTCAATGATGCATATTGGCTTTCATGCATCTTTTGTTCATATTATTCATAAAAGTTGATGCTGACTTGACAGTGTATTCATACAGGATTAAATAGCTGTGACTTTAAACTATAGCTCCTACAGCTTTTGTAATGTAGCATTGTATACCTGTTATTCCCCAGCGGTTCTCTCAAAAGGAGAACCTAACAGCCCTATTTGTTGATCACCATTCCCCCTGCCCAGATGTTCACAGTTCTTTGTATGGGATTTGTAGATATGACTGCCACGGCACTGAAAGCAGTGGACCATTGGTTGTTGAACAAGTCCTTTGCTCAGAGTTCTACCATTCAGTCTATGACAGTGATGTAATCTTCCTGTCATCACTTTGTCCTATTCAGAGAAACTCTGCTGTGATGAGAAGACAGATTTGAAAGCCCTTAATGAGTGAATGAGTGAGTGAATAGATGAATATATAAATAAAGAATCAGTTTAAGAGAAGGCACTCGGTGGAGTGGAAGTCTGGCACTGCAGGAAAAAAAAATGGTGCCCTGGGGGTTAGAAGGCATGACTTTGAGATGACCGCTAGTTCTATTACATCAGAGGTCATTTAATCATCTCTGGGCCTCAGTGTTCTCACCTAGAAAATGTGTTACATTTTACCACATAGTTTCTAAGTTATTCTTAACTTCTGAATTTAGGTTTTAAGCCATTTAATAGGCTCAGCAATGTTACAATCCATAGAGCTGTTTGTTATTAAATTCTGGTGCCTTAGCTCTTGTCCATTGGAAGACATACTGCCTCTCTACAGCCAGCTGTCTAGATTCTTTTTAATCAGTCAATGTACACATTGTCAATATTTTCTATACCCAACAGAATTCAAGCCTCTCAAGCTCCACTAGATTTATTAGGTAAATGTATTGCTTATGCCAAAACTATTACCTTCTTAATTCTTTAGATCAATGTACTTTTATGCTCATATTTACATATAAGTGTGTCAATATTCAAAAACTTTCCTAGAAATCAACCAATATTTATTAAAATTACACTCAGTGCATGGGCTCCTGGTTGACTCAGTTGGTTAAGCATCTGCCTCTTGATTTCAGTTCAGGCCATGATCTCATGGTTTGTGAGATCAAGCCTTGCATCAGGCTCTATGCTGATAGTGTGGAGCCTGCTTGGGATTCTCTATTTTCTCTCTCATTCACACTCTCTGTATCTCTCAAAATAAATAAATAAACATAAAAAAACTTTTTTTAAACATAAAAAATTTTTTAATGAAATAAATAATATAAAAAATAAAATTGCACTCAGTGCAAAGCATTGTACTAAATCTTGTAAAGGAAAAATACATTCTGCCCCCAAAGAGTTTGGTTTATCAACACATACCCACCCAAAGCTAAGTTCTAATGAAAGAGGTAAATAAAGTTGATTATAATAGAAAGCTGTAGAGAAGGAGACTACAAAATGAGTTGGAAGACCAGGACTGTTTTAAACCATTTGACTTTAATCAAGTGTCCTCTCTCTCAGTCTCTATTATTTCATATATAAAGCTGGCCTAATATCTTCCTCTCATGGATTTACAAAATTCCTACTCTTTACCAGGCACCTTATTAAATCTTAATAATAAAAAGATGCACAGTACCAGTCCAGCCCATTCAGGAGTTCACAATTAAGTTTAGTTTAGATTAACATACAGGCAAACAAATACTTGACACAATTAGCACTATTGTGCTAATTAACACTATTCTTGTGTTATTAGCACTATTGTTGCTCAGATAAGTCAGGACTGCCACCACAGAGAGCCAGTGCCTCTAGAAATAAAACCACGAGCAATACTGTACATTCCCAGACCCTGATCTTTTTAACACCTCCCTTCACACCAAGATGACCTTGATGAAAATCGGAAACAAGTGTCTTCTTGCTGGAAAAGGGAGACCAAAGCAACTCGCTGTTATCCAAAGGAGAGCCAGAGAATCAGATACCCTGTAACTGCTACAGTGTAAGAGTAACTGCAGAGTTTTCCTGTTCACAGAGCAGTAGGATTTGGCACCCGGAGCAGAAGTTTAAAACCATGGATGATTGCCCTTCTCATTGTGTTACTACTGACAGTGGTGGCAGTGACCATCGGTCTCCTGGCTCACTTGTTAGCCTCTGGTAGGTAAAAATGATGAATTTCACTCAGCTTGATTTCATTTTTCTGCAAACTTTCATTCGTATATATGAAAATGTAATTTTTTGCAAAAACATTTTTGTACTTGCACTAGCATTTAGAATTTAAAATTTTTTTCACTCATTTTATCTAGAAATAATTATTGAATGTCTATTATATATGAGTACTTTTCTGGCTGACTCAAGATACAGCATTAAGTAAAACAGACCAGTTTCCTATCTCCTTGAAGCTCACAATCTGCTATTATTTTAAGAGTACACAAAAGATCAAAACTGACAACTGAAAGAAGTGCCTGGGTGGCTCAGCCGGTTGAGCAGCTGACTCCTGATTTCCCAGGGTCATGGGATCAACCCCCACACTGAGCTCTGTGCTGAGCATGGAGCCTGCTTAAGAGTCTCCCCCAGGGCACCTGGGTGACTCAGTTGGTTATGTGTCAGACTTCGCTCAAGTCATGATCTCGTGGTTCATGGATTCAAGCTCCACATCAGGCTCTGTTCTGAGAGCTCAGACCCTAGAGCCTGCTTCTGATTCTGTGTCTCCTTCTCTCTCTGCCCCTCCCTTGTTCATGCTCTGTCTTTCTGTCTCTCTCAAAAATAAATAAATATTAAAAAAACTTTTAAGATTCTCTTTCTCTTTCTGCCCCTCTCCCCTACTCACACATTCTTTTCTCATTCTCTCTAAAAAGATTTTTAAAAAATTAAAAAGCAGTAACAAATCTACTGGTAATCATAAGCAACTCTAATCATTCAAGTGGAAAACTATGATAAATTATTTATTCAATTAATTATTAAAATTGGCTCATTTATTCATCATTCTGTCCACCAACATTTCAAAGGCCAAAGAAAAACACATGTTCAATGAAATAATGAATTTTGAAATAACTGGTAAGCTATAAATATTACTTATTTTTGGAGAAAATTTTATTCTTTCCTAAATGATATTCAGGTATTTTTTAATTGCCTGATATATTTATAATCACACAAACAATGCATTTGAGAACTCTTTTTAAATTGTATCTTTCTCTTCATAGACTGCAAGGTGTTAACATTTTTTGACAAATCTCCAAAGTGTCACTCACACAGATGTGTATGATAAAACAACTAGCTCAAGCCTCTTACTTGAATGGTCTCACCTATTGTCATCTTCCTCAGACTTGAGGTGGGGAAAGTGGGAAGGAGAAAATCTATTATGATCTTTAAAAGTTTTAAGAGCACAGTTCTGGGCTTTCTATGACAACCCCACCTGTAGTTTATGCTAATGGCAAAAGATTCTCAGGTCATTAAATTTGACCACACAAAAGACCCTTTATTATGACTATAATGTTTGATAATGGTATGGATTATATAGATAAGTATTAAGGGGACCAAAATAAAAAGCACTACAGAGCCCAGCAATTTCACACCTAGAAAATGTATCATTCTGAGTTTTTCCTAGGTCCGTAGCTGGGAAACCCAATGTGCCCACTGTGTCCTTCCTAAGCCTGGCTCCCTAAGGAGAGATGCTATTCTGAGGTTGCTCCATTCTCTGTCTTTAACTCTTTGTAAATTTCTTGCTCCCCACCCCCAGAAGGTCATACTCCTAAGATTAACAGATTTCTTTTTATAAATATATACATTTTTTATTTATTTCTAGGAGAGAGAGAGACAGCGTGAGCAGGGGAGGGTCAGAGAGAGAGGGAGACACAGACTCTGAAACAGGCTCCAGGCTCTGAGCTGGCAGTCAGCACAGAGCCCGACGCGGGGCTCGAACCCACGAACCCACGAACCGCGAGATCATGACCTAAGCGAAAGTCGGACGCTTAACCGACTAAGCCACCCAGGCGCCCCTAAGATTACCAGATTTCTTAGGAGTCTCCACTGCTCTCTGTTTTCTTACCTTTCCCAGCAGCCAAGTAGAGATCGGCTTGATTCACCCCAGTTACACTGTTCTTATCTCCTACCTCTGACAGTTTTTCCGTTTCTTTTCCTGTCTTTCTAACTTTGCCTGGCTCTCCCATTACAAATCAAAACTCACAAGGTAACTCATTTACATCTACTTCTAGCAGAGTATGAGGTGGTATACATTTCACCTCAGCAAGGGACAATATAGGAATTGAATGTTTCAGCTCTAGAGCTGGGCTGTCTAGGCTTTACCTCAGGCCACTTACCAGTTGTATATCACACAGCAAGTTACATACACCTCTGTACCTCACTTTCTTCACCTGTGAAATGTAGGTGACACCAATCTTAGGGAGGTAGAGTAAGAACCAAAAGAATTAATATATACAAAGTGACCAGAACAGTGTTTGGCAACATAGTACACACTCAATAAATACCAGCTATTATTAACATAAAAATTATTATTTTCATTATATTTATTAAGAAGATAAATTAGAAAAAATCTCAACAATAATTCAAGACTCTATACTAGCCCCATTATATTTGTGTCTTAGATCCTGAAATCTAATTTGTAATTTCCTACTTTTCCTTTTTATCACAGGACAGAAAATGGAGTATTATCATGGCACATTTAAAATTTCAGATCTACAAGTCAGTAGTAATTCTGGACAAAACAACATATACCACCTTAAGGACTTAAGGGAGATGAGTGAGAATTTGGTAAGTCAGATGATATTCTTTCTGTTGTAAAATAATGCTGAAGAAAAGGATTTGTGGATCATTTCCCTCAATATTTCTCAAGACTATTTTCAGAACACTTGCATCAAAATCACTTTGAAGATTCCTAGGCCCCACTCCAGACCCACTGAATCGGTGTCTACTGGGATAGGTAGGCAGGGATGGGAAGAGAAGGCCATCTCCACTCTAATAAACAGTGATTATAATAAACCACTCTTTGTAACTCAGCCATCTCATCTAAAGGTGAGAGAATTGGGGCATCTGGGTGGCTTAGTTGGTTAAGTGTCCAATTCTTGATTTCAGCTCAAGTCATGATCCCAAGGTCATAGTATGAAGTCCCATGTCAGGCTCTACACTGAGCCTGGAGCCTGCTTAAGATTTTCTCTCTTTCTCCCTCTGCCCTTCTCTCCTACTTGCAATAGATAGATAGATAGATAGATAGATAGATAGATAGATAGATAGATGATAGATAGATGATAGATAGATAGATAGATAAATAAACAAATAAATAAATGGAAGTGAACAAATGCAGAGGTACATTTATGATAGTAACTGTGTTTGAAAGTGGACTTTTAAGTTTCAGTAAATCATGCATTTCTAGCAGTGAAGGAGCCTCAGGTGCAAAGGCTGAGTTAGGTAATGACACATTACAGTCAGAGCACATGCAAGGCCCTTCCATGGCTGTCATTATTTATTACTCTCATTTTTTCACACAACACACCCCCATCCACCTTCCTCTGCAGGTAGCCCTTCTTTGTTTCATATGTATTCTTTTGTTTGTATTCATTCCTGTAAAAATGCTTTTTGTTGTTCTGTGTGAACATGCTTTTAATTTATTCTTTGTGTTACAAATCATTTGTCTTAGTCAGTTTGGGCTACTATTACAAAGTACCAGACAATGAGTGGCTTATCAGAAACTGATTTCTCAAAGTTCTGGAGGCTGGAGGTCTGAGATCAGGGAACAGCCTCCTCAGGTTCTGGTAAGGACCCTTTCTCAGGTTGCAGACTGCAGATTTCTCGGTGTATCCCCACATAGTGGAGAACAGACATAAAAAGCTCTCTGGGTCTCATGATAAGGGCACCAACCCCACTCATGACCTAATCACTTCTCAAAGGCCCCACCTCCTATACCATTACATTGAGGGTCAGCATTTAAACATATAAATTTGGGGGTGGGAAATAAACAGTCCATGGCATCACTTTTTGTTTATACCTTTTTACTCAGAAATTTTTTAAAGCTCTATCCATGTTGCTAAATGTACACCTAATTCATTGCTATTGGCTACTACATAATGGTTTATAGTGTGTTTCTGCTATATTTTATCTTCTGCCTATCATCCCAAGAAATGCTGCACTAAATAACCTCCTACTTGTCCCCCCTATGGATCTGTGCAAGCTCTACGAGCAGAATTACTGGGTCACTGGGTGTGTATACACTTAATTTGATTAATTGGTGTGGATTGCTCTTCAGAATAGCTGACCCAGTGTCCACGCCCATCTGCAGTGCATAAGGATTCCTATGTCCCTATATCTTTGCCAACACTTGGTATTATTTGGTTTGCTGATTTCTGCCAGCCTAACAGGCAATAAGTTATATATTTTGTGATTTAATTTACATTTTTCTAATTATTAATGAGTTTGTACTTTATTAAATATGCTTGTTAGCTTTTTGAATTTTCATTTTTATAAATTGCTTGTAGCTATTCTTTATGTGTTTTTCTATTATTTTGTTTTGTTAGTGTTATTTTCCAGGAGTTCCTTATATTTCCTAGATATGAACAGTTTGCTGGTTGAGGAAATTATAATTATCCATTCTCTCTTCTATTAATCTGGACCATGTTGTTCTTCATGAAATAGAAATCCATAATATTGAAATAATCATCTTCATCTATTTTCTTTGTCTTATGTTTGTTTTTAAAGGTTTTTTTAAAAGAAGGCATTCCCTCTTTCTTTTTTTTCCTTTCATAGTTTATTGTCAAGTTGGTTTCCATATAACACCCAGTGCTCATCCAAGCAAGTGCCCTTCTCCGTGCCCATCACTCCCCTTCCCTTCTCCCTGACCCCTTCAGTTTGTTCTCAGTATTCAAGAGTCTCTCATGGTTAGACTTTCCCTCTTTCTAAGTCATAAAAATATTTTACTATATTTTCTTCATTTAAGTTTATAATTTTACCTTTTACACTAAGTCCTCAATGTATCTAAAGGCCACCTTTCTGTGTGATGTTAGGTAGGAACCCAGGATTTACTCTCCATATAAGTTTTCCCAATTTAACTAAACAACCTTTTTTCCCAATGGTATGGTTGTTCAGGTCTACATTTCTTTGCACCTGAATCTTGTAGAAAAGGAAACATGATCTTTCTCCTCAAATTGCTTCTAATCTCTTTGGAGAGATGAGAGTAACACACATGAAACTGAACAGCATGACACAATTAAAGACTAAATTGTATGTTGTGGACCGAAAGGGCAGAAGAACTTCAAAGAAAAGGAAATTCAACCTAATTTCCCATGGTCAGGAAAGGCTTTGTATTATTTAGCCCTGTTTAAATGAAACAAGTGTCCTTTTTCCTCCACTCACCACCAAGTTAAACTTTAGAAGAATTGTGTGAGTGATTCATGCCTCATCCTGAGCCACTCCTGTTAATTGTTGCTAAATCCCAATGAATGAAACCAGATTTTTCTCTCTGCCCTATCTGGGTGCTACTTAGACAGCCAAGAAAGACAGGTTACAGGTCCTGTTCTTCCTCATAATTTGGGATTTACTGATTTGAATGCAAACGGAGATGCAAAAGTAAAATGAGTTCATGCTCAGACACTGCTAAAAAGACTTCAGTAACCAGACACCACTAATTCATGACACTCCCAAATAGGTAGGTCACTTTCTTTATTATTATAAGTTTGGTTAGGATCACTGGTTGATGTAGTAATTCATTTGAAGAAAAATATTTCAGAAATATCAAGAAGTATTTTTAAACTACAGGGTCATTACAGATGTGAAAGTCATAGGCTTGTAATACCATAACAATAGCTAACATGTATTGAATGCTAAGCACTCCACTAAAGCACCTTATCTGTATTTTAGTTAATTCTCAAAAACAACTTTGTGAGGTAAGTCCAATTACTATATCAATTTTACAGATGAGAAAATCAATATCATACAGCTAGTAAATGTAGCTAGTAAATGATTACATGTTCTTAATAAACTTCCGTCATCCATAAGAATCATCTGTGTGATTTTACTTCCCTTTACTATCAGACAAAATTCCAGAAATCAAGTAATTATCCCTGGTACATTAGTCTATTTCAATTACACTGTCATCATGGGCCAGTGACCATCATCTCATTAAAAATGGCAACAGTTGGGAAGTTTCTTAGGGATGTCTCCCCATTAAAAAACACTGCCCCTGTGCCCAAGGAACACCCAGGGACACTAGAAAAGGGTCTAAAATGATCCTCAAAATATCCTTAATGCTATGTGTCTAGAATTGTAGAAAAAAGGAACTTGGAAACAGAAAGAGATAAACAAGTTAGAAACACTCTCTGAAGGAATTAGAAAACAAAAGTGAGAGATTGGGCTCTGATCAACATTGAAGCAGGAAGTGCTTCTACTGAGAAAAATTAGTTGAGATAAATTTAAACTTAGCAAAGATATCAGTCCTAAAGTTTGGAGTCACAGAAGGTAAAAAAAGTAAAAGATGCTCCGTGCTTGGTGTAGGGTTGTGGCCCTGTGCCTAGAGAGAGAAAATTGGATTTGGAAAATTTGAGAAAACTAAGCAGACATTATCAAGAAGCTTCATGTTCAGAGTTTAGAAAAACTGAATGGACAGTATGGCCAAGTCCTTTCCTGAGAACACAGACTTAAATTTATTTTGAAGTTAAAGGTTAGGCATATTTAAAAGAGGAAGATGTGTGATATCTCTACCTTAACTTGAATCCTTGAAGAAAAAGATAATTGTTGTATATTTCATGTCTAATCTGCAATGTAACACTGCAAAGGAGGCATTATTATCCACACTTTAGGGATAAGGGAACTAAGGCTCTGAGTTCAGGTCCACAATCAGTAAATGACAGAGGAGAGATTTAAAGCCATATAGATAATTTGAATATGTGTTCTTCCCGCTAAATTGTTCGATTGACTTGTCAGGAAGAAACTCAGCTAAGATAGGAAGCTCAATTCTATGTCAATGCTCCCATTTAATATTTAAATTTGTAAAGATTATAAACCCCAGATGCTGTGCTAGATAACTTACACAACACATTGGGTTTACTTGTTATATAACAAACCCTCTTCTTCCATAGTCTCCTCACTTCCCTGTTCAGTTTTTGTCCAGCTTTATTGAAACACAATTTACAGATAACATTGTGTCAGTTTACAGTGTAAAGCATGTTGATTTGATATATTGCAAAATGATGATCACTGTAACACTTTCATCATGTCACATAATTACTATTTCTTTTTTTGTGGTGAGAACATTTCACATCTTATTCTCTTAGCAACATTCAAGCGGCATTCAGTATTATGAGTTATAATATCCATGCTGTACATTAGATCCTATAATTTATTCATCTTATAACTGGAAGTTTATACCCTAATTTAATCAACATCACCCTGCTTCTCCCATCCATCCCCCTCAGCCTTGGTAACCACAATTCTACTCTGTTTCTATGAAATCACCTTTTTAGACTCATATATAAGTGATATCTTACAGTATTTGCCTTTGCCTGACTTATTTCATTTAGCATCATGCCCTCAAGGTCCATCCATATTGTCCTAAATAGCAGTATTTCCTTCTTTCTTGTGGTTGAATAATATTCCATCATATGTATATACATCCTGTGTGTGTGTGTGTGTGTGTACCACAATTTCTTTATCCGTTTATCCACTGAAAGACACTCAGTTAAGACTCTTAACTATTGTGAATAATGCTACAATGAACATGGGAGTGCAGATATTTCTTCTGTATCTTTGCTTTCATTTACTTTACA